TTTAGCGCTCAATAAACATTATTTATTTATTATTTCTATAAAAGCCTCTCATTGCATGAAGACATCTATCAATTCGTAACACAATATAAGATACCTTTCACTAATGCCCCTATTTCACACAGATCACGAATCCCACGAATCGCCAGGAATTGGCGATTCAACCACGAATCCTGAAATTTGCCAATTCCTGGCGATTCGTGGTATTCGTGGTCTGTGTGAAATAAGGGCATAAGCAATATTTCCGTTTTGATAACCTAGGCGCGGATCTGTCCCAGTTCTCGTACTGGGCGCCTGGTCAACCCAGCGGGAGTGGCTGGCTGAACGACCCGGACTGTGCCGTCATGTGGAGAGACAGTGGCTGGCGGTGGGACGACATTACCTGCTATTACTATGGCTGGCATTATAACTTCATTTGCATGTACAGTACGGGACAATTTCTTTTTTGTGTAATTCGATATCTATCTATCTATCTTTATATCTATCTATGCAGATAGATGGACAGATAGATAGATAGATAGATATATAGATATAGTATATGCGCTCGTTCTTAACTTCGTGCTTTTCTTTGCCTGTGTCTTACATGTGTTCCCAAGAGTAGCTCACAGTACACGATCTAATTAATTTTACTTTTGAACATTTGCGTAAATTACTTTTGTATGCATGCGTGTGCTAATATTCTTACTACCAATTAAACATTTCATCTTAAAAGATATGACATCGGAACCAAGTTCCTTTCCAACATCAACAACGCCAGTGGCCTCAACTGTACCCAAACTAACAGGGAAACCAGGAGATGACAAAACCACCCTGAGTACGACCACCAAGGCTGGAAGTGATGGGAGAGGTGAGGGTTAATTATGAACAGGGGTGGGGTGATTGAGTATGTGTGTGTGTGTGTGTGTGTGTATGTCACACATCGTGTGTGTGCGTTTGTGCGTAAGAGAGAGGGGGAGAGAGGGTGCGTGCGTGTGTGTGTGTGTGTGTGTGTGTGTGTGTGTGTGCTTACATGCGTGCATGTTTGTGTGCGAGTCGACACGTACGTGTGTCAATGCGTGCAAATTATGCACGGCAACGTGAAATATAATGGATCTGCAGAACTGAATTAGACATACTGGGTGCTTTGAATTATTAGAACGTGTGCACAAGGCAAAAGAGATAGACAGAGGTAGGCCAAAATCTACCTCCACCCCATAGCACAAAGACTAATCACAGAGCTATCGGTCGATTTTGAAACCCACTAATATGAACGCTGGATTAAGCACATTGGCACAGTTATTATTATTATTATTATTATTATTATTATTATTATTATTATTATTAATTTTTGCAGCACCTGGCGGTAAAACTGATGCACAAACAGCGCAGCGTCAAAGTGGAAATGAGAACGGTACGTGCCTGAAATAGAGCATGCTATATATCCCATAAAATATATGTAATTATATTTGATATGTGTTGTATATTGTAACCATTTAATAGTCTCAGAGCAGCGACGTAACACAGTTACTAATCTGGAAGCGTCCAAATGAACTGAGATACATGTATGTTTGGGTGCATGTAGTAGTGAAATACTTCTTGTCTGTTTTTGAAAGGTCGACAAACGGTTTGAATTTTAAAAAAGCCCTGTTATTGTCAACTTTAGGAAATAACTTCTTCGATTATGTATCATTTTTTATGTATCATTTTTTTAGAAAAACATTATTAAGTGTACTCGTGTATATATATGTTTAACTTGACAGTTAAAAGGTATACATAATTCAACAGTTCTTCGACCTACGTTTCAGCTCTCTATATCGGCATCGGCGTGTTTCTCGGTCTGCTGGTGGTGGCGGTGATCATTGCAAGTGTCGTGTTACTCAGGTTTAAGCCGTGGAGAAGGTATGTATATAACGTCTTCTATACCACAATGAGAACCGTTTGAGATAGCCCTGTTTGAAATCGTATAGAAAGATAACCCAATATTATTGGGTACTAAAAGAAAAAAAAATTAGTTGAAAGGTGATATTTTGTGAAGAAATTAGAGGTATTTAGCGACATGAAATATACGAGGTTTACAGGTAGCTTTGGCTTAGCGAAATGGGGTAAATATGTTAAGACATCCTTAAACATATCTACGATTTCATACTTTCTCTGCTTAAGATTAAACTTTCCCCGAGCGCGAAATGATCTAATGCTACCTTGTACTAGTAGCCATATGAGATATTGTAAATGTTACACTGTATTCATTCGATAGGTTCTACTTCAAACACAATGACAGTAATGACGTGGACGCCATAATCAGCTACGATAACAATGCATACGGTGACGTCACTATCAAAGGAACCGGTGTGGATCGAATAGATAATGCTCTTCCGGCGCAAGATGACCCAGTGTACGCTGTTGGGGGAGAAGAGAATCACGACAGTCAGCCAGGTGCTATAGAGGTGATTTACGACAGCCATCAAGCAGTCTTTGGTACAAATGAAGTGTTTCACTTTGGGTCGAAAAACGACTCAGACGCAGAGGCGTAGATGCTGCTCAGACTTGGACAGTGTATACACCGCACACTACCAAGCCGGGGAAAGTTTTTTTACCACTCCAACCGTTCTCATCAAAATTAATTAAATTTGATGCCGGAATCTCTTTGATTTTTCAGAAAATCGGAGCAAACCGGTTTGCAAACATTATTTATAAATTTCTAAGTGAAAACGGAAAGTATGAAGTCTATAATCCATGAACAGTTTTTTTTAGGTTAAATGTGATTATACATAAGTAGCAGAGTTGGTTATGTCATATTACACATGTTACTTGTTAAACTGGTTTAATAAACGAAATTAACGGAAATAGAAACGGTCTTTTTAAGTGCTACATATTTTTGACTTAATCGCAAGCTAATCTAACGAAATTATTTTTGGCAGAACATTCAAATTTATTCCAAAGAGCACGTGTTACAAAAACAAAAGCATAAAATCACTTTCATCGATGATGCAGCTTATTGAAAATAGTGTGTAAACAATTTGCAATTAGAACTGAAACGAAAAACATTACTCAATTCAATTTTGAATTTGAAAGTCTTTTAACATTTATAATGTCTTCAAATACATGTCACATATTCGAAACCATAATTCAGGTGCCATAAAACAATAAAGGAACAAATAAAGTGCAGCGACTTACCACTGGTTTCGAAATACAACAGTCAATAAAACGGACAATAAAATACTTAACCCAGTTTTAAGGAAGACAGTTCTGATGCCGCGTTCAAATCGCGCTTTACTGCAAGTGTGTCCTGTCTCTGACCCGGTAGCAGATGACTTGAACTGGTGGCGTCGCTGTCCACATGTCTCTGATATGGTGTTATATATGATGGTATATATATATATATATATATATATATATATATATATATATATATATATATATATATATATAAAAACGCACAAAATTGGAGGATGGCTTCCACGTCAGTTGCAGTCCTGATACATACATGTAATTTGCTGTTATCCAGACTGCAATTCTTCTATGAATAGTCCTAAATTTTATTTTTATTTTATTTTATTTATTTATTTATTTATTTTTTAATGAGGTCCTGAATGAATGAATAGCTTTGCGATCCCTGACTTGTTCCTATTTTCAATTAAAAATCATATATCGTAAGTCGGGTGTCTAATGTCATCATTTTATGTGAGAGTGCGTATCTAATATAACTCGATAGATGGCAATACGATTGTATCTATATTCAGTTTTTCAAAAATAAGGAGAAATAACTAGTAACCAAAGAGTGTTTCTTTATCCTCGGGAAATAGGTCACTGCACGAAGTACAACAATCTACGTTCCGTTTGTCTATGAATAATGATAAAACAGTCGAGCCAGGTGCGCTCTCTTTAGAACCGTGTGAACGGGCTTTTCTATATGCGCTTCAGAGCTGATTCTTCCTATGGCTGTGTTCACATCGGTTCTAAATTTGACCTTTTTTTAATATGACGCTAGTTGAAAGGATTGGTTCTGAAAATGTGTAGCCATAGGTCTTTCACTACATAAAATCATCCAAAAAAATTTTTGAAACGGCTTTTTTGACACAATCTGTACCGTAGGCGCTCAAAAAAAAAAAAAAAATACGCGTCTTTGGCATCTCTGCGTATTCAAATCACAAACTGTCCCTAAGTAAACACCGATAAGAAAGCAGTCTCTCGATGCGTTCATTTAAATACAGAAGCAGAAATAGGAAGAAGTAATAGTGCTTGAACGCCACAGAGAAGTGGTGAGATTGCGACTGGAGAACATGGAGAAATATTACCCTCTTGCGTTCCTTTTACTTGTCGTCCTCGACTGTTGTAAAGGTAAGTCAAAAGAAATACAAAATTCTATATTTTAATTTATAGCAGTTAAAGGAGTTCATCTAGCTCAAACAAATTCACAGAAGATGTATGGAATGCATAAATCAATCGTCTTTAAGTAGCGGTATTGTGCTGGATGCTCTACATGTATCTGTTAAGCAAATGACGACAAGTTATGAAAGTTTTTTTAAATCGTTTTTGTTAAAAGACCACTTTTTTAAAAATTATTTTGTTAAAAAAAACACTGAAACGGCTTTGGGTGACGTGCGTGGATAAAAAAGTACCAGTTAGATTCAGTGGAAGTCACGTCCCATACCAACACACTTGTGGACAAAATGATAAATATTTCTCACTGTGCGCCTGACCCGCGGAAGAAGCGTTTAACTTTTAATGGTTTGATACTGGTATAGTTTGCAATTCAATTTGTTTTGTAATGTTTTGGTATAGCCTAAAATATGTCATATCGAAATAATCGCTGCTTTTTATCCGAAGACATGCAAGCAGGCCTGCAAAGAGAGTTGACATAAGCATTCCAAGCTATTTTCTCTGGAAACATATTGTTTTATCTTGTATTTTGATACATTGAGATAACATATTAAGGTTACAGAAAGGGTTAAACAAAAACTCTTAAATTACTGTCTTTACGTAAATGTTTTGATAATATATAAATCTTCAATTTTTTACTGGTTAAATTCCTTTGCAAATTTTATCGATGACGTCATAATTGCAATTCTAAAAAGTTGCAAAATCGGTTTTTCAAATTTCAGCTTTACCTGAACACCGACGAACACTGTCTAACGCTATTTTAATGACACCATTAAGTACTTCAAAATCCTGCCAATGATGTTTATAAAAAGGCGTAGTTCACATTTTATAGTTAATAAGGAAAAATAATGCCTTTGTTTAATGATACACCAACTGACGGGCTTATAACACCATGGCAAAACATTTATACCAAAACAATGTTACCCATCGCATCCTGATTATTATTATTATTATTATTGTTGTTGTTATTATTATTGTTGTTGTTGTTGTTATTATTATGTATAGGCCAGGAGGTATGGCGCTGTCCTGAGAGGCCAAGACAGGACAACTGGAACCTCTACACATTTCGTGACAAATGTTACCAATTTGTCAACACTGAAAAATACTGGACGGAAGCCACAGACTACTGCAGAGGAAGAGGCGGCTTGCAGGTAGAAATATTTGATCAAGCGACGATGAATTTCATTATCCACACACTGAACAATATCGGCTGGAGCAATAATGGCGTTTGGACTGGAGCACACGACAGGAGTCGGGAAGGCTCCTGGCTATGGACTTCCGGTATGTTATGGACGGCATTTTGTTTTTCAATCAGATTCTTACTATTCTTTTCTGTCTTTTTCAATATACTGTGACGTGTTTAATCTCGGCTTATTTTTACAATACAAAACATGTTCTGGAAGGCATCAATCATATGAATCCATGAACAAAATTAGCGCTAAAGAAAATTAATTGAGGTAAACCTTTTTCTCATGTTTAACTGATATAAACGAATTGCGCACTGCATCCACCAAAAATCCAGCCGAATAGAAGCACCAGAGTAGAGAATTCGTTTCACCACTCCAGGGGCCGATTTGTCCCGGTACTCATACTGGGAGCCGGGAGAGCCAAGCGGTGGCGGCTGGTTTGACGACCCTGACTGCGCTGTCATGATGCGAGACAGCGGCTGGAGATGGGATGATGTTCCCTGTCAAAGTCTGAGTTGGCATTACAGGTTTATCTGCATGTACGGTACGTTCAAAATTGACCTTTATTGGTGTTTGTGTTGATTTTTTCCCCTTTTTTCAGCCGATAACCCTTTGCTATGGAGTGCATTCGATATACTTTTGCAATAGTTATAGGTTGAATGCTTTGGCATTTGTAGTGTAATTTACAGGCATATTTTTTTTTAAATATAGCGAAACTTATTGTGTTAATTGCCAATCACATGTTTTCAATTGACGTATAAAATCTACATTAACATTTTTTACAATTTAAGAGAATAAGCTTTGCTATTGGTTTCTCTTATTGGCTTAGGTCTATTGCCAACTACCACTACAACTACTACAACAACTACTACAACTACAACACCTACTACAACTACTACTACCACTCCAACAACTACAACTACAACACCTACTACAACTACTACTACCACT